TCCCAATCTCCTAGAGCCTGACATGGTGGTGAGAAGGCAGGAAGCTCTGGCAGCAGCTCGCCTCAGGATGCAGGAGGAGTTGAATGCACAAGCAGAAAAATACAAAGAAAGACAAAGACAGGTAACTGGGGAGTGTTTCTTTCTTTAATTCATTAATTTGTCATCAAGGGCTTTGCTGTTGCTACAGAAAGGTTTGTTCCATACTAGATAGCAGTATAATAGGAGACTCGCTCTCTGCTGGAATGGGGGTGGTGGGTTTTTACCTCCTTTTTTACCTGGAACACGTTTGATACAATTTGATCCACAGAGCAGCAACAGGCAAGTAGGTACCAGGATGGTATCGCCTCCACAAGCACGTACCTATATGCTGTGCTGACCTGATGTCTTGATGCTCTTTGTTAACGAGAATGTTTGATACATGTAGTATTCTGCTCCTTCCTGAAGTAATTAATCTCTGTGGCACTTGTTTCAGTGCAAGTAATTTTGTCTGTGGGACACTGAGGGCCTGATCTTTATTTCTGGTTTTTTATAGGTAAATCTGTGATTACAGAAACTTAGTACTAGGCACAGTGAATGTCTGGAGGGGATTTACTGGTGTTTAGGTTAACTGCCACTGCAGACATGCATTTTCTGTTGCTAATGTCAAATAGAGGTTCTTAGAAATGTAGTCTATCATTGCTGGCATTTAATGGTTGGAATGTCAGCTTGATAAAATGAGGAGTATCATATTGCTACGTGGGGCAGCATAGAAAAGCAGATGTGGATCAGCATAACTGTAATATTGCTCATTAATCCAAACCCTTGGGTTTTGTTGTAGCTGTTTCTGTAGCACTGGTGATTCCATTAGTTCTGAAATCTTAAGTCTTGCATATCCTGGATTTGTTCCTTAGCTTGAAGAAGAGAAGCGAAGGCAGAAGATAGCGATGTGGGAAAGCATGCAAGAAGGAAAAAGCTATAAAGGAAACATGAAACTGAATCAGGTAACAACTATGTTAATCAGGTTACAATTAATTTTATGTGATGAGATGAGCTGATACTCACAGTGATTAAATTCACTTTTTACTTTTGTGAACAGCAAGAAGCAGAATCTGGTGCCTCCACCTCATCAGCAGTCCCACGATCTAAACCAACCAAAAGGCCCTTGCGAGAAGGTGGTAAGTATGAAACCCTGAAGACACTGTGAGCTTGAAACAGCATTTTCCAGCTGCTGACATAGTCATCATACATCTTTATTTTTTTTTTTTTTTTTTTTTTTCCTTCTTCAAGGAGGAAACAAAATGTGCCTTGCAAATGAGGACTTTAATCAGTGCAAAACCTAGCAGGAAGTTTCTGTGGTGCTTTTCCCCTGGAAAACAGCGTTTCAGTTCTCTTGTAAATGCTTCTGCCACAATTTACTGAGATTTTTGTCACTCAAAGTCATAGATTCTTGCAATATTTCTGGGATCCTTTCCCCATTATTATAAAGGTCAGATAATTATCTGGTCTGTCTTTCAGCCACCTGTATTACTGACTGAATGCAGGAAGAGGATATTTTTATTTTGTATTACGTAGATTTGGAAAGATGAAAGACTTCATTATGCAAAATGTGACCTTATTTATCAGGTATCACAGTAATGATCTATTGAATATATAAATCCTGCAGATGTATAAACTCTTACCAACTCTCACAACCACCAGAGGATCTTATCATTAAACTTACTGTCAACTGCTGAAATCATCTTGATGGTGAACTGCTTTCCATGGCCCACGCTAGGATCACTGTCATGTGTTGGCCATGCAGCTGTGGTCTCCTTTCTCTCCTCTCAGCCTGTGCAGTACCTACAAGTGCTAATTTGGGTATATTTTAATGATAATTTTCCATAGCTGGGGGAGGATCGTCTAGACCAGCCTCAATCCTATCAGACTAAAAGAGAAACCCGCTTTGGGTGCAGCGCTGAGTAAGTCACTCGATTAAATGTATAGAACCTGAAGATTCTTGATTAAACATAATAAACCTCAATAATTGTGCAGTGCTGAAATTTCTGCTTTGAATTTTTTTACTGACAGCTGATGACAAAATCTGGAGGGACTGATGAATTGATTCATCTGCTGTTGTTTAATAATGAATTCAGCCTAATATCTGATACTGTCAAATGTCTTTTACAGCTCTTGCATGGGATATTTAGCGCTGTGGGGATGAGAAGTGCCTGTAATGGTTGTCTGAAGAATCAAGATCAGGGCAGCTGGGTTGAGGCATCCTTCCAGCTGCTCCCTGTCTTAGTTTCATCCTAAGTCTTTGCTTAAATAGCAGATGATAGAATTAGAGGTCTCTGGTCTTCTCATGAGGTAGATCAGCATGATGTGAGAGAACCACCTGCACTGCTCAGCTGCTGAATTAAGGTAGAAAGCAGAACTTGGCTAGCATGAGAAAAACTTCAGAGGGAGGTGACGCTTGAAGTTTCAGTGCACAGGTCACTTTGACGCCTGCTTGGTTAGCAACACTACTAGGTTTTCAGTTGTCTTTTTCTTTGTGTGGTTCAGAACATTTGCTAAGTTGCATCTTTCTGCGTATGTACTTAAGAAGTGAAGCTGCCTATAGTTATGGCATTAGGACACTCAACTAAAGTATCTGTTTGCCTTACTGCCTATACTTCCCTTTTCAGATCCTTGAAAAAAATCTTACAGCAGTAAGACTGTAGTGGTAGGACAAGGGGTAATGGCTTTAAACTTAAACAGGGGGAGTTTAGATTAGATATAAGGAAGAAGTTCTTCACAGGGTGGTGAGGCACTGGAATAGGTTGCCCAAGGAAGCTGTGAATGCTCCAACCCTGGCCGTGCTCAAGGCCAGGTTGGACAGAGCCTTGGGCGACATAGTTTAGTGTGTGGTGTGCCTGCTTATGGCAGGGGGGTTGCAACTAGATGATCTTAAGGTCCTTTCCAACCCAAACCGTTCTATGATTCTGTGAATGACTGGATTTACCTTTTGACCTTCAGAGTATTCCTTGCAGGACTGGAATAAAAGATTCTTTTAAGTCCCTAACTACTAGGGCTCTTGGAGAACAGATGCACTCTTACAGAGTTTACTGTAAGAGTTCTTGCCCTGTTTATTTTGCAGAGCAGCACTAAAGCTTTAGTGCAGGCTTAGAGAAATTAAATGGTAATTAATTTCAATTTAATCCAAATTGATCAAATGAAAACACAGGTGTTTTGCAATGGCTTTTACTGATAGCATTCCAAAAATAAACCATCTCAAGTCTGGCTATTTTCTCTGCTTTCATTTTCCTTAAAATGCTGCCTATGTAGTAAGTATAAACAAGGTGCAAATTACCGTGAGGTTTATTTCTGGTGTTTCTTGCATGTTGGTGGAGGCCTGTTGAGGATGAATACTAATCTAATGGATTTCTCCTCTGTACTTCTAGGCTATAACCCCCTGTCTGGAGAAGGAGGTGGAACTTGTTCCTGGAGACCAGGCCGGCGAGGCCCGTCAGCAGGTGGATGAGGCTAACCTCCCGAGTGTCTCATGTCACTAGCAGGCTTGATCTTACCCACTGTCTAACTGCCTACAGTTTGCTTGTCACAGTGACTCCTTTGGGACTGGGTTTAGTGTTAACATCAAAACCAGTTTACATCATTTCCAAATGGTAATGCAGAAGCTGATAGCACACAAGATCCTCTTAGAGAGGATGAAGAAAGAAACAGTTTTCCCTGCAGACAGGAAGTGTTGTCTGCAGCCAAGTGAATTGCCTGGGTTGAGATCTGGGTTCTGTGGCTGGCGATCCAAAAGTGGCCTCAGGCAAATGTAGTTCTCTAATCTCTGTGAAATGAGGATATTTACCACCCTCAGACATGTGTTACCAGATTTGCTCTGTTTGGCTGGAAGGTACTTAAAAGGGGAAGAATGTTATCATTGGCAGATACCCTGAATTTTAGGTGGAGGGACTTTGAGAAAAAACATGAACTGACAAACACCACAGACTTGCACCAAAGGTCAGTTATTTACTGCAGAAGAGTCTCTGTGACAAGCTGCTTTCAATGATGTTTTCCTTATAAATGGTACACAAACCAGTGAGGATTACTGATGGTAGACAGCAGAGGGGGGGGGTCTTGCTACTCTTTTTTTTTCTTATTTTTATTATTATTTTATTTCAACTGCTTTGTAAAAACAAAATACTATTAATATTAAATATAACTGCAAACAAATCATAACTCTAGTATTTACAATCTTGTGGTTTTCTACAGCATCTTTTTATATAGGAGGTGCATATTCTAGTGCAATAAATGTGGGTAAGGGAAGATGAGAGATCAAATGAAATGATTTTCATTTGACTACCTCCATAAACAAAAGGGTTTTTTTCAGCTGTTCTTTTTGTCTTTTAACAGGTTGGTTTTATTTGGGTGTTCTGTGTTTCAAATCATGATTTTAGAAGAATCGCCTTTAGGTTAAGACCAAATCAAGTCTTCCCAAGTTTAAAAAGTGAAACTCCTTGTTTTCTTCCCTACCCCCAGTAAGTGATTCTGCAATTGGGTCAATTGCATTACTGGTTGTTAAACACTCCAGCTGTATTTGAATCTAAAACAAGAAAAATGTAACAAATGCCTTTGCTTTAGCAGAGCAGAGCATGTTTCTTTACAGACTACAGATATTCAAACACTGCAAGATACCCAAAGGAAGAAAAGCTACAAACTGTGCCTAGAGCTGCTGGTGTGGGCAGCAGAGCTACCTGTAGCTTTAGCAGTGCAGTGTCAGGGTTGCACCTTGGGGCCGTTCAGAACTGGCTCTGTGCTACCTTCTGTTCTGAATGTCTCAGGTGGGAGCTGGTAGCCTGGTTGCATGGCTGCCCTGAACAGCCCAGCTGAACACTGATGTGTGCTCTTACCAGCTTGTGCAGCACAAAAACTGAGGGTGGTTTGTGCTGGAGAGGGCCTCCAGGTAACAGATGCGTCACTTGCAAGTGAAGGGCTGTAAGGAGTAAGTATCTGGAGTGCTTGTGGTCTTCATCCTTCTGGTGCATAGCCAGCACTGTGGAGAGAAAATAAAGTTAGATCTGGTCACTTTAATGGAGCTTCCCATACATCCCTTGATATGCAAAATGCACAATGCAACAGACGAGGAAAATCCAGGCTGGCTTTGATACAGAATGGAATAGCTCCTGGCACATATGACAAGTGTCTCAGTGTCTGATTACTGCTATTGAGCTTGTATATAGGCATTAAAATATGTGTCTGTTTCATTAGCATAGCTTAGAGCTGCTTCAACACTTTCTAAGCACTTAGGCTTGGAGTATTTGTGTTCATCAGACAGTGTAAGTGCCAACTTTGAATATGGTGTTTATACATGTCAGATACTCCTCTATATGTCAAGTGAGCTGTGATTTTCTCTTGACTGTAGATGTAAGTAATATGTTACTAGTGAATTTTAAAGTTGCCAGCTAATGAAATGGAAAGGCAAAGAACCTTTTGCTTTAGGCCCATGAAGTGTGCATTCAGGTGTGAGTGGAAGATGAAGTGAGAAGGCTGCTAATGTTCCTACAGAAACTAGTTTTAATTTCCTGGCTTCTGTGCGTTTTGGTATGTAAACTGAAATTTCCATTGTTGTAACACAGTCTGGTGTATGTAATTTCGGGTTTTAATCTTTAACAAGGCAGAACAGAGGTGGGGAAGGCTATTTTCAAGATCTGAAGGTACTTCATCAGTAAAGAGGACTAAGCTGTTATCTTACTCATGCCTCTGGGGAACATTTTCCCCTTGTGTTGGGGAAACAGGCAACAGACTGAGATGTTGTCTGCAGCAAAACAACTGGGGGAGGATGTCTTAAAGCAGAATTCCTTGTGTTGATAAATGGTGAGGATGGGTTGATTTAATTCAGTAAAAACACTTTAAAAAATAAATAAGCAGGTCTGAACTGAGCATATGCTAATCTTTCTCTGTGTCTCAAGACTTGCTTTGGGCTGGGACTGGGGATATGAATTTTTGCCTAATTCTAAGATTTATTAAGACATATCCAGTGAGAATTAAGTGATTTACATATTTCTGGAAGCTTCAACCTCTTCTCTCCCTTAATTTTTGTATTTTAATCCTCAAGTCCCTAAGTTTTTCTCGGTGAGGCGCTTCTAAGCTCATGAGTAGGGTGGGAGGAAAAACCTCAGTTTGTAAAACTTTTTTTGGCTCCCAACCTGCACAAGCAGGTGGAAGGGTTTTTCCTCAGACTTCAAATAGAAAGCTCTCCTTTGACCACAAACAACTATGGAGAGGTGGTTGCTTGTTGCTTTCTAGCTTGAGAGCAAAGCATGCAGAAGGCATGAGGTGAAAGTGCACTATTTAATGAATCCATTGTTCCTACTTTGCTATGAATTCCCAAGAACTTGAATGATGAAAGATCATATTAAAAAGCCTTCAGGAGATTCTCCCCCACCACCACTTAGAGCAGTTATACAAGAAGCCTCTTACTCTAGTGATGCAGATGTTCTGGAAACATCTTTATCTTGAAGAAGCCAGCTAACAGAGTTAATGGAGTGCTATTAAACCGCCATATAATTTTCCTTAACCACTGAAGAAGAATCTGGTTGGGGTATTGAAAACTCCTAAATGAGGCAAGTGTTCAGAGGCACGAAAGAGTCCTGAAAACATTAGTTGCTGGAGAAATGCAGCTCAGTGTTTTTCATTGCCTTTTGGATGATTTATATGCTGGAGGAACTAAGTTTTTAGTTTCCTTTAAATTGCAGATGAGATCTGGTTATGCATAGTTCTCTTAACTATTCATCAGGAGATACTGAGCACTGGAATGAAAACTGAACAAAATCCCATGTCACTCTCATAAAATTTATTTGGCTTTATTCATGCCTTTCACAACCATTGTGAAATGAGGGAAAGCTTTTACAAGTGCTCTTGCATACTTAGTTGTTATTAAAAAAAAATGTTTCTTATGCTGGAACGTTTTAATAACCAACACCAGGAGATGGACTTGGGTGTGAGGGCAAATGGGGAGTGTGTCAGCAGAGCTGTTCCAGGTGCTCCAGGATTAATCAAAGCTCCAGTGTTAATCAGCGATCAGTGTGAATGAGAATGCTAATTGCCCCAGATCTGCAAGGCACTGCTCTCCTTGAAGAGACCGAATGCAGGTGTGAAACATTAGTACTACTGTGTTTTAAACAGTTCTGTGCTATTTTAACTCAGAACTCAAGGAATTGGGCTGTTCTGCAGCTGCTCTGTGCCAATCTGGTTTCCTTCTCAGAGTGTGCTGATACTCAGTGCAGGTGTTGAGATTGGGGTGTTTTTCTCTTGGGTTTTGTGTCTTGTCCCTTCCCTAGGAAGGTGACTAAGGAGAGATTAGCATTCAGAGAGCTCTGAATGAGGGTGGCATCCAGCATGAGTCTCCCCTATGTTTTACTAGCAGTGCTACAGTTCATGGCTGCATTAAACCATCCTAACACCATCCCTTATGCCTCCTGCACTCAGTGAAACAGTTCTCATCTCTGGCAGTTGCGTTTTTCCAAGCCTGGCTGCACATCAGCACACATGTCTGCATCAGATCCACATTTGGATGAGTCTTGCCCTTGTACAGGCTAAGAAAGTGATACGTTTTGATGGACTGGGTTAGCTAAGAGCAGGGCACAGCATGTTTCTGTCCACGCTATCACAGAACACTGAAACGGGAGAAAAAGCCAGTCTAGACTTGGATGGGCTGATGACTTGTTTCTTCTTTCCTTCTCCCCTTTTGGAATGAAAGCTTAGCTTTTGGAACAGCTCTGCAACCACAAAGGAAAAGCATAGGGCTGCTGGCTGGGTGGTGTCCTGGCCTGGTTGCACCGTTGTAGCTGATTCTGTGTGAGCTTCCAAGCCAGCTGTTCCAAGGCTGACACACACCCTGCCCGTATTCCCAGCTCCAGAGCCAGCAACTTCAAAAACTTCCATCAGTTTTTGTGAAGCAACCAATGGCTGCAGTGGAATCAGCCGCCTCAGCTCAGCTCTGGTGGTGAACATAGGTTTTCATTGCAGATTTCTGTTGTGTAAAGTACTTCCAGCACAAAGCAAGATCTCCACTGATAAATTAACAATTCCTCTTTCTGTGTCTACCATAGTTTACTAATCAAGATTCTTTCTGTGTGCTGCTTGCTGAGCTCAGCTTCAGAACTGGTACGGTGGGTAACATTAAAGTAGGGAGGGCAGTGAAAAGAACTGAGAAAAAATCTATTTAGAGAGAACAGAAGGAAAATGGATATACTGAGATACTTCCTGGTTGTTCAATCTAGTTCTAGTGCTCTGTTGTGTGCATTAAAATGAGGAGTTACTGTTAGGCTGGCCTACAAAATGCTCTTTCAAAAGAACCAGACTCAAAGCTGGCTCCTAAAGCTTTACTTCTTCACAGACTGGAGGGGGTAATGTTCAGTGTCAATTGAACTTGCTGCTTCTTGGGTAATGTAATACAGCTTCCAGTACCTAAAGGAGCTGACAAGAAACCTGGAGAGGGGCTTTGGACAAGGCCTGTAGGGACAGGACAAG